TATTTATTATATTTTTAATCTAAATCCTTATAAAAAACCATTTATTACTAAGCAAAACTCAGCGTTAAACTTCTTTGCTTTTTTTATTTTCTCACATAAACACTCAAAAAAAAAAAAAGTAGCAAGCAAACAACTAAAGGTTTAGATTCAAGTAAATTATCTCTTTTATTAACGTTGGAATCATGTGCACTCAAAAAATTTAAACAATTATTTGCTTTTCTTCATTTGCATGGCAATTACTTTATACTTTTAAGTGCTAATATGGCAATTACTTTACACTTAACCCTTTAACCAATCCAATCATTGCAAATTAGCCGTTGATTAACTAGGACCATTGGCCGAAGTGGCAATTCAAATAAACAGTTTCTTTAATGAATGGCTTAAAGAAAAATAAAAATGTTCATTCATTCCCTAAATTAATCTAATTTAAAATAAAATTAATCCTTAAACTATAATAGCTTTTTAAGAAAATTGCAATTATCCGTGTTCTTTTTTACACATCAAATCAGTTGCGTTAACATAATTGTTTTTTAAGCTCTCACATTAGTTGAAATTAATAGAAACCAATAAGAGTAGTTAACAAATGATTAATTTGCTATATTAGAGTGGATTCAATGGCCTATTTGCTTGTTTTTAGTCTTCAAAAACCAAGATTATCAATTTTAACATGATAATTACTACTAAAATGACAGGTATTTAAATATTAGATTAACATAAAAATAGAAATAGGTGCAATTGCACTTTTTTGTAAGTTATTAAAATGCACAAGCTTATTTTCAAATTCACATAACAAATAAGTTAATAAAATATTCCTAAAGAAAATGCACATTTTTTTATGTACATATTAACTAAATGATTGGTAAAGACTATGAAAAAAGAAATGATTAGAAAATGCTTTGAAAATTCGCCCATAAGATATCAATATTAGTTACACTGCAATCCTTTACATGGTCCTTTTTTGCCAAATGTGATCGATTATGTTAAATGGGTGGAAAGAGATATTCAAATCCTCAAGTAAATTTGATATAGAGCTTCTAATGTTACACTTTGAACTAATGAGTCATGTCTCCACGTAAGGTTTATTTGCTGATAACAAAAATAGCAAGTACTCATTAGCACTTGCACAAATGGTTATTTTGGATTCCCAAAAATTGAACAAAATTTATCCAAGAATTAAAATATACTTAAAAAAAAATGAGGAGGAGGAGGAGGAGGCAGTGCATTTAACCTTATGAAAACAATAGTTAGCTAAAAATAGGCTAACACTTATTTGATAATTGACAACTTAATACATAGTTTATTCTAGAAGTTGGTTAATTGAAGTCTATAAACAGGGAAAGACACTACATAGCACAAACTAAGTTTCCTCCATACCATACAAATCTAAATTTCCATAGATTAAAAAAAAAAAAAGAGAGGAAAGGTTAAATTCCTCTTACTAAGAGGTAATTTTTATTGAAATAGCATGACTTCTAAAACTCAAACCTGTAAAAATTCACAAAAATATTTAGTTAATAATAACTAGTTGAGGGACATCAAAATGACGTTTATACTAAAAGAAACAAGAAAAATGAAAACTAACCTATGCAAATGGTCCCCGGAAGAAATCAGCCTGATCAAATTGTTTAGCTAAAGCTGAGGGGTCTTGCATATCCAACTCATTAGCAACGAAGAAGGGAGCAGGGTTTTTATGTGAACTCCCATCACCTAAGGAAGAAATTTCAACAGCAGCATTCACTCCATAAACATGATTCTTAACATCAAAATCGTGATCGTGCAATTCAGTTATAGGATTGCCATGGGGTTCTGCATTTCTAGGCTGCAAAATGCTTCCTTGGTCATCATCCAGAGATAAACCAAAATTAGAGGTTGCATATGCTATCTGAGATTCAATTGTCTGTGGCTGGTTCAGACTTCGCTCTATAAGTTGGTGACGGTTTATCCTTTCATCTGTTGGTAATAATGTCCATCCATTACCTTGCACGAATTGATGCGAAAAGCGATAAGATTGTATGTTCCACAAGTTTGATGAATAAGTTCGCCCGAACATGGACTTCCTTGATTGAATTGCCTTGTAATCTCTAGCATTCTCATCCACAGCGCCAGGTTTCATCTTCTGAATGTACAAGCGGTACTTCTACAACACAAAATGACATTGTTAACTTCATCAATCTCTACCAGGGTAACAAATTAGTCCACTAAATTGATTACCTGAAGGTGACTAGCGATGTTCTCTCTGGTAACATCAGTAATGCCCATGGACTGCATACATTCTAGAATCTTCTTAGGAACCGCCCCTGCAAACACATAACATAAGACATTCAACAAGATCATGTAATGTAAGTAGTTAAATAGCATGAATCACTAGTTTCATAATTCTAAATCACTGAACATAAATGGTGTTTCTTAGTCTTTAATTATAAGAGTAAAGAATATATAATTCTCATACTGTCATGGCCGAGTTGATCCACAGCTGCAACAAACTTTTGATGGAGCTCCCGAGTCCAAACCATCCTTTGCTTCTTTGCATAAGTTACCCCATTAGAGGGCTCTCCATCGTCATCTTGATCATCTTTTCTTTTCTTGTAGAGTTTTATATCTCCTTTGTTTCTTAGGGACATTGGCTCACCCTGATCAGCATTTTTTGACCGAACTACAGCGTCTACCATACACCCCACCGGCTGCTGTATTTCTTTCAGGCAACTCTTCCTTCTCTTCCGGACCACATGCTGCCATATGAGCCTGATAGTCTCCAAATGAACAGGCTTCACCCAATAGTCACAAGCACCGTGAATTATCCCTTTTAAAATCACCTCCTTTTCATCATCTCCTGACATTACTGAATAAAACAACAGAATTGAATTAAACAATAATGAAGGCATTGAATTTGCCTATCATAGGGGGGAAAAAAAAAAACTGAATGCAATATTTTCTTACTAATAACAGGTAAGTCCATCTCTAAGCTAGCAATCTCAAGCAGCTTAAATCCATCAATTTCTGGCATATGTAAGTCACAAATGACAATATCAAATCTGTTCCGATCCTCTCGAAGCAAATAAAGGGCTTCCATAGCTCGTTCACATTTGGTAACTGAAATTTTGCCATATCAAAAATCAAGGAATGCTAGCTTGAAAATGCTTTAAAAAAAAATGAAATAAAATTTCCAACATGATTATGAGAAAAATTGAATCACCTTCATATTGACACCTTTTGAGCATATTTTCCAATAGAGTGAGATACTCTTTATCATCATCAACAATAAGAATCCTCAGACCGGCTGGAAATGCATCAGAAAGATAATCATCAACCTTCTTTCCAGTACCATTTTCATCTAGAACAGATTTTCCATTGAGTTTTCCCTCCATTTTGCTTGGATAAAGAAAAAGGGAAAAAAAAGAGAAAGAGATTGGAAGAACGTAATGGATATTCAATTGGTAGTACTCTCAGAGTACAAAAATAATTGTGCAAAATATCAGGCTTCTATTCTGGTGAGTATCCCTTGTTTTTCTCTACCATTTTAAACTATGCTGAAATGTCTAACAAACTTCAACAAAACAACAATGGGGTTTTCAAAAAGGGAACTGTTGGGCACGGTTAACAGGAAATTAACACGTAATTTTGGTTTTGAATTATAATTTTATTTGTTTTTTAAATTAATTTCAACTTAAAACTCTTGAATTTAAATAATTTACTTGTGAAAAAAAACTAGTGTTGATTTTAAATTTTAGATATTCTAAAATTAGAAAATGAAAAAAACTAAAAAATCATAACATCTTGGGTCTCTTCCCACTTTAAAGATTAAATATGATTACACTTTAAAAACAAGAACTCTAAGTGAAATTATTCCAATATTATTAATAAATTTTTTTTGTGTTAACTTATTAAAGGTATTTTAATTTTTATATTATCATTTATAATATTTTAATTATCAAAAAATCATAAATTTTCTCAATCCCTTAAAATATAGTGTAAACAAATTTTCATTTTTGACGTGCTCTTAGACAATTAAATCTTAAAACTGACTCTATTGAAAAATAAATATTATTTATAGGTTAGATATATGAGTCAAAATTTAAAATTAGTACTTAAAAAATTAATTTTTTTAAATACACTATATCAATGTGAAAATTGTGACTTTAACATCATTCATAAAAGCATTATTATTAATGCTTTAGTGAAATTATTTAAATATTATTAATTGAATCTTAAATATGTGTTGATTCATTTATTTTAGTTCTTTCATTATTAATTATAATATTTTAATTATCAAAAAATCTTAATTTTTCTCGATCACTTAAAATATAGTGTAAACAAATTTGCATTTTTGACGTGCTCTTAGACAATTAAATCCTAAAGTTGACTCTACTGAAAAATAAATATCATTTATAGGTCAGATATATAACTCAAAATTTAAAATTAGTACTTAAAATTTTAATTTTTTTTAAATGCACTATATCAATGTGAATTTTTTTTTTCTGACAAGAAAAATATTTATTAGAAATTAATATTTGTTTAAGTCAACAGTAGAACCAAACTCAGACGAACTCCACTGCTCCTCATGGAAGAGTGTGGCCCATCCACTAGATCATACGAGGGAGTTGTGTGACTTTAACATCATTCATAAAAGCATTATTATTAATGCTTTAGTAAAATTATTCAAATATTATTAATAATTTTTTTTGTTAATTCATTAAAGGTATTTTAGTTTTTTTATTATCATTCATAACATTTTAATTATGAAGAAGTCCTAA